CCTTGTAGCTCGCCCATTTGCTGGCCCGTGCGCGCCAGTCAACTTCTTCTCTTCCCTCCCTTCCCCGCTCCCGCCCTGCAGACGGCCCCGCCTCTGCGGAGTTCGTTTGCGCCAAGGCCATCAACGACGGCGTCATCGACGCCGTCCTCGACCACGAGGCCGGCTACCTCCAGTCGCGGGACGTGAACGACATCTACTCCACCATGGAGCCCCAACAGGTGGGTGGCGGGACCTCTCTTTCCCCTCCTTGGCTTCGCTGTCCCTCCCCTTGTCTGTGCTTCCCCTCCCTCCTGCCTCCTCTCGTCACGCCTCGGCTCGTCAAGCACTCGACAGCGAACGCACACGATGACTGTACCACCTCTTGACTATGCGTATCCATGACGGACATGTGTCATGGTCTCGCATGATGCCCGTCTTCTCTATCCCCTGCCTCCTCCCTCCCTGACAGGCCTTCCACAAGCGCATCACCTTCTGCCTGGACGTGCACAATGAGGCCGTCAAGTCGCTACGCTACCCGGACGTGCCCACTTACGGTGCCAAGAGGGGGGACGGGCAAGGGGAGGAAAAGGGAGAGGAGGAGAAGACGGAGGAGGAGCTGGTGCAAGAGTTGGAAGAAGATATGGAGGATGAGTTTTAATGGAGGAAACGCGGGAAGGAGGGAATCCCGGGAAGAGGGGAATTGCACTGGAAAGAGGATTGAAAGAGGGAAACTCTGCCGGTGGGGCGTCGTGGTGATGGGTAGGGGGGAAGAAAGGATTGGGGGTGGGGCGTGTAGAGGAGGGAGGACGCAAGAGGGAGGGCGAGGCGCATTGCGCAGAGGCTGGTTGAAGTAAAACGAGGCGGACGGGGGGTAGATGCTTGGAAGGCATGAAAGAAGGAAGATGCATGCCCCGTCCCAGCGCTTCGATGCCCAGTATAATTTATTGCTCCGTGCTCGTACGTATTCTTTCGTCGCGCTCTTTTCGGAGACACAGCCACCTTCCCCCCCCGGCCGCTCCACACAGCGCCTTCCCGCTCCCTCCGGCCACAGAGCCTCAGTACCTGCGGGGTTCACCTTCAACCCTTCCATTACACCGTGTGCTCCTCTCTGCCTCCGCACAGCCATCATCATTCACGGATTTTCATCATCTCAGGCCTTCCTGCTCCTCCTCGCATGGGCCCCACCCCTTGTTATATCAAGTTGAAAAACCCGCCCCCCTTGGCCTCCCCCTCCTTTTTCTCTTTCCTCAGCGCCTCCACCACCTCTCGTTCCTCCTCCGACAGCCTCGTGGGGATCTCCACCGACACGGTGAAGTAGTGGTCACCCCGCCCCCCCCCTTCCCCTCCCATCAGCT